CAGCCTTGTTCTGTTTACTGTTTTCTGTCAGATTCCAATAAATGGTCCTCAAGCTCCAAAGAGACAACAACAACACAGTGAAAACATCAGTGACACAGAGGTGCCTCTTCCAAGATGGAAAAATTAAGATGTGAAAAAGGACACATCTTAAAACAATTTTGAATTAAAAGAAAAATTATTAAGATCCATCTTAGAACACATTCTAGAGTCCTGGAGCAGTACTGTTGTCAGTGGTGTCCTAGTGCAGCATGCACACAGCTCAAAGGATTGCCGTGAGACCCACCTGAGCTACTCACAGAAATGCTCTCCAGAGTGCTAGCAGTTTACCCAGCTGGGACGGTTGAGAAGCAGAGGCAGAGGATCCTTATGAGTTTGAGGCCAGTCTAGTTGAATTAGCAACTTCCAGGCCAACCAAAGCTACACAGGAAGAGACTCTCAACACCTCCGCCCCCAACCCCAACCAAAATAACAAAGAGTACCTTAAATTATTTCTAAGCGAGTTCTTTTCTTTTGAGCTAAGGTTTCACTATGGAGCTTGGCTTGGAATTCACAATCCCCCATCCTCAGCCTTGTGTGCAAGGATTAACAGACAGGTACCACTCCAGCTGGCTTCAGAGTAAACATTTAAACAATGAGGTAAAGATCTTTGAAATCATCTACTTCACAAATATCTTTTTATTGTGGTTGCATATACATGATATGGAATTTGCCTGTATTTTTAGAACCACAACTCACAAAAAAAATGACCTTCAGATTCTATTCTGAAATTAGTTTTTTTAGTGTGTGTCTGAATGCAAGTACAAGGGTGCCAGAGCACGCAAGCGGTCAGAGGACAACTTTCAGGCTTTCTACTGCCCCCTTGTGGCACACATGTTCTAATGCCACCTGTCAAGCCTGTGCTTCACTGCCTCCACCCACTAACAAAGGTTCAATATGGTCCTTAAAATGACTTGACTGTTATAGAAAATATATAATCTCTGACCAAATTAGGAGAACCAACAGTCTCCTAACAGTGCACTATATTTCACAGACTTCTGAAGACTGGTCCAACTTTTAATGCTCAATTTTGAAAGAAACCAAAAAACTGGCAATGTGCTTAGATGACAGCACCAGAATAACAAACATCTTAAATGACGAGTAGTTTTCATTTTCTTAAAAATATTTTATTCAATATTGTATTTATTTACATTTCAGATGCCATCCCCTTTCCCCATTTTCCCTCCCTAGAAACCCCCTATCCCATTCCCACTCCTCTTTTTTGCTTTTATACCATTTTAATTACATGCAAGTATTAAGGTCAGTTCTAGATTGAGGGACTAGCAATACAATAGATGCAAATAGTCAAGGAACAAGCAAGACAATAAACACAAACAATCAAGGAACAAGCAAGACAATAAACACAAATAATCAAAGAACAAGCAAGACAATAAACAAAGTCCCATGATCACTCCCATCATCAGTGTTTCTAAGGGCTTATCGGGATGACCAAAATATCTGAGCCAACTTCCCTGTCCTAGCCCAAAGTCATTTTCATGTTTGAAGCCTACTTCCTTGTTCTAGCCTAAGGTTTAGATTCCTGCCTGAAATTACTTCTTTGTTCTAGCCTAATGTCAAGCAACCCATTTCCTTGTCCTTGGCCCATGTCAGATTCTTGCTGAGCAGTCCCAAAAGCTCTTCGCCTCTCCCCACAACCCCACTTTTTTTTTTATTTCATAAACAAGACTGAGCCTGTCTTAAGTCATTCTGAGAAGAATGCCTTCCTTACCCAGCATGGAATATGCATTATCAAAAGCAATGCACTTATGTCTTAGGTTGAATTGGAATATTGACCTGGAAAAGGACAAGGACTGAGCAGTGATGGTCTTTAAATGGTCATTACACTTCCTCTGTCTTAAACAGAAAGACAATTGTGAGTATCACATGTGAGCTTAATTAGAAAGAAGTGTGCAATAACAGCAGAGGCACTACATGACAGGAATGGCAACTTCCTGCAACAGTACATGTCCCTAAAGTGTGTTCCTAAGCAGAGCTGGTATTTTAAGTAGATTAAGACTACATGCAGGGCTTACAAAAACCTCTTTCAAATTTAAGGTATACAGACAAATCAGAAACTGCAGGTGACTGAAGCAGATGGCAGAGACAAGGGGCTGGGGTAGGAAGGGAAACAACTCTCAGCTTTTACCACACCAGCACAGCTGCCCAGGGCTGCACTCTCCCTTCCCATCTGCCTGGGACTTCCTCTCCTCTCATAAATTTCACTAACTGTGGACTTCACAGACTTTGGGAAAACTGTCCTTGTTAACTAAACTCTTCAGACAAGTCACCATATTTCCTGCCACCTAGAAACTGTTCCCTTTTTCCTCCTTTGGCTCTCTTCTTCCCTCTCTAAGCTCCTCTCCCTCCTACAGAGTTCCTTTTTCACCCATCAGTTCTTACAAACAAATTTATCAATACATCTGATAAATCCACACAGATAAACTATTGTTAACACACTCCACATTCGACACTAGGGTTCATTTCATTGTAAAAAGCTATGGTCTGGGGAGCTTCACAAATAACTTTTTATTGTGGTTGTATACACAACACAGAATTTGCCTCTACTTTTAAAAGTAAAAAGTGAAACGCATTATTAAATAATCTTCTGAATGCTCATTAAAGAACAAAGTCTAAACTATTGAACAATGTATGTTTTCTTAATACTAGAAAACCACAACAATTTTTTTCAAAATCTGTTTTCACATAACCACTTTCTCAATTTTTTCTAATATAAAAATTCTAATTTATCATATTAATATATCAAATAACCATAAAATGTTATTTTATTTCATTTTAGTATCAATATATGTATTTACTTAAAAGAACATTTATTATATATTCTGTAAGGGCAGAAATGTAACTAAGAAACTGATTCCCAATCAATATGACATCCACAATATTACATATAATCTTATCAAAATGCTGTTATATTTCTAAGTACCACAAAATAATATTCAAACTAAAAGGCTTCACCAAATTTTTACTTGAGGGAAGGGAAAGGGAAAACTAGAAAAAGAAATAGCTAGGCTACCCAGTGTCTAACTATAGACAGTGCAGCTTTTTCTGTCTCATCCTGAAAGGAAAGCCTTCCATAGTAATGAAACCCATCCAATCTGATCATTTGTGCTGTATAAATCACTGACATCATGCTGTACCCCACTAATTGTGTAATTATGTGTTCGTTTCAGATGCATTTAAAGAAAAGAGCAAGATCCTGCTTATACTGAACAATCAGTTCAAAAAGGAACTTCATTTTACAAACATTTTGAAAATCGTTTATCGACTCAGTCCCATTTCATCCCCCAGGCTAGTTCTCCATTACAGTTACACATTCGCCTCTTCTCTAGCTCTTCTCTAGTTGCTTCCTTGGACTAATCCCTACTCATAAAATTGATCTTTTTCCTTGAAGTTCAAACTAAAACACAAGGCAGAATTAGTACAAGAGGACTCACTAGCCTCTCCAGCTACTGTATCTTCCAAAGAGAACCTGTGCTGAGGCCAGCACAGTGCAGTGCACTCCCCTCACAGAAGACTAGGTTTCACCCCTACCAATGAACACACAAACAGCAAAGCTGATCCTGCGAGTCCCAGCAGGAGGATGCAAAGTTCAAGGTCTGATTTGCCTGGCAAAAGAGAACTTCTGACCAGCCCGGGCAGCTAGTGAGAACATGAAACTCGAGAATTGAAGAGTACAAGGCATGGCTTAGCAGACAACACACCTGCCTAGCATGTGCAGGGCTCTGATTCAATCCCGAAGCATCTCAGAAACAAAGAAACCACCACCACCTCATTCATGATTTACCTTTCCTGTGCCTAAGTTTTCTCATTTGCAAATTAAGAATAAAAAAGTCTAGATTCTGTATCTATATATCTGGTACCCAGGAGTAATCTGCTGAAGGAAAGAATAAAATTCTTCAGCATTGCTGAACAGTATAGGTGAAAAACCCGGCTCACTATTACCTAAAAACTTACAATCAACTGGATCACTGTCATGGAAAAACTCCCAGTGGGTCCTATTCCTCACATACTCCAACTCAAAACATTTTTTGTCCCATTTTCAAAAGAAGCCTACGGTTATTAATTTAGCTATACTGTGTCTCACCAACTTCCTGTCTCTCTAAAATCAAATCAATGCCTTCTTTCTTGCATAGTCTCAACTTATCTCTAAGTGTGGGAGCCCCTAGACCTTCAATATTACTGCCTTTCTTTATCCAGCCAGATAACAAGCCTTCCACTTGTTAGGCTATCTCCCAAAGCCTAGAAAGCACTTTCCAATCTCTCTGGCTTTAATTACTCTTCCTCTTTGGAACCCTCTCTTATCTACTGCTGTCTAAGCTTTTTAGGAACTTTGTAAATTCCACTTCACCTTTTACTTTCGTAGCCCCTAACTGGGCCCTAAGCAAACAGATGCACACTGCATTTAGTACCAACTGGCTGATCTAAACTTTTCCTAAAATGAGGTGATACGACAAGGCTAAGATGCTCTGCACTGTTCATTGCTTTCCCCAGTAAGATTATGAGTCATGACCATTTCACCTTTTCTTATAGTTTTCAAATGTAAAAAAAAAGAAAAGACCCAGAAATGAAGTTTTGGGGTACTGTATCCATGACTCAACAATCAAAAGGTAACAGTACCTTTGCAGATCCTACGCCCCTAAAACTTTCTTGAGTCTCTACAGAGAAAAAGAGCCCATAAACAGATGCCAGTGAAATACTAAGGACCACTTCTGTTTTGTACTTAGAGCTTTTATGTTTTAATAATTCAGTGATTCGCACAAGACCTCTACGCGACCCTCTGCTGCACCGTGCCCACAGCTCCCTGACTAGTCACTGCTCCGTGTTTTCCAAGGCTGGTATTTTCATAACATTATGTTCAAACCACAAGATTTTCTATTGCAAAAGTGATACTATCAATGTACTTAAATATATGTAAAATACCAAATATAATTTTAAAATATTCTTACCTAATCCTTTTTGTCCTGGATTCTTTGCAAAATTAAAAGTAAACTGGTAAAAATCCTTAAATCGTCCTGGTTCTTTCAATTCTTGTTCCATCTTGGGTATTTGGGCCTTTAGTTTTTCTATGCTGTCACATCTACATTATAAAATTAAGTTTATAAATGGTTAACTTTTCACTATAAATTAAAAACTTAACTTAATTATTCCTATGAGGGCTTGCATTTGTTTCCTAGAACTTATGCTTAAAAAATCAGATAGATGGGATTTCATCTTTTTACATTAAGTCCCTCACTGACCCTAAAACCTTGAAGAGCACTATGCCCCCGATATGCACAGCTTCTTCCTAAACATACACAGCTGTGGTACAAAGTGCAACTTATAGAAAAGACAAAGCAAGAGATTAATCGGAACTAATATTAAAATAGTTATGCGGTAATGGAAATGCTACGCATGTGTTCCCTCTACTGAAAAGGCAATGCTCTCTGGCACATCCTAACTGACAGCATCGCTACGTTTACACTTTAAAGTCGGGCCACCTGAACCCCCACCACTATGGTAACTGAGAAAGCCACTAAGTGACTAACAAGCAGGCAGGGTACAGTGGGGGCATGCCGGACAAAAGGACAGCTTATACTTCAGGCCGGACAGCAGGACAGTTTAAAATCTTACATCTCTACTCAGAATGATGCCCAACTTAAAACTTAAGAGATTTTTTTTTTCCTGGAAACTTTCACCCACAATTTGTGAAGACAGTGAACTATGAGTCACTAAAACTTCACAAAAGCCATGGATGAAGGGTAACTCTTGTCTAGAGTTGGCATAAAAAAGACGACAAAGTCCACAATGATGAAATGTTAGAATAACTACTCCTAAAAGAAACTGGCTATTCTTTTTTGTTGTTGTTGTTGTTGTTGTTGTTTTTCGAGACAGGGTTTCTCTGTGTGGCCCTGGCTGTTCTGGAACTTACTCTGTAGACTAGGCTGGCCTCGAACTCAGAAATCCACCTGCCTCTGCCTCCCAAGTGCTGGGATTAAAGGCGTGTGCCACCACCGCCCAGCCTGGCTATTCTTTTTAAATATATTAATTCACTAAACTCTCAACACAGGGACTTAGAGACTCTACTCTGCGTCCATGAATAGACAAGGATATACAAAGTCTGCCCGTCTCCAGTTCTTTCCCTGTGGTAGGGACAGCTGGAGCTGCAGGCAGTCCAAGGAATCGCTTCCAAACTAGGCCTCTTGCTAAAGATGGATTCTTCTTGAAAACTTGCTTTTAATAAAGACTAGCTAAAAGCTGTACTGCCTTCAACTAAATTTTAATTGAAAGCAGAATTAGGGTTTCCCCTATGTTTACAAAACTTTCAACATGTACCAAGTTACTTTCCTCCTAGCAATGGCCTTATGACATAAGTGTCCTGTGTCTTAAAGATTCCGAACAAATCAACCCAATCAATTCTCTAAACACTTCTGCTTTCTATCTTACTTCTACATTCTCTGTAACATTTCATAGGATGCATTGTTACTATATTTTCCATAAGTAGAGACATTGCTTTTCCATAATTCTAGTGAAATGTGTCTCTGACAGAAAAGCCCAGCAGGCACAGGACAAGCTGGCTCAGCTGTAAGAGAGGGTGGGCACATTACTAACTTACTTCTCTTCATGTAAGCCCACCCTACTCTGCCCTGCTTTGTAGTTCCAGCCACAAACCTCTGGACATCATTTCTCTTGCCAGCTCATTCAGTGCCAGGGTCTACTGACTACAGGGTCTACAAGGCTAAAAGGCCAGGGGAGGAAACTTTACCCAGGTTGCTGTCAGTCAAGGGAAATGGTGTTAGTGTCTGAAAGGTCCCAGCACTACCTATCAGTTCTGACAACTCCTACAGTAGGCCCCCATGCCCACCTCCACCTGTCCCCGCCCTCTAACCAGTTTTATCCACCACAGTATCAGCTTCTGAGCAGGCACCCTGCTCCTGCAGCCCTGCCTTCTCCCCAGGGACTGAACTGTGACCTGACTGGCTAGCTCACTTCATGAAGACCCAGGGGTGGCAGCAGCTACCACCACCCTTCACACATTCAGGCTCTCTCTTTCGTGGTGCAGCACTTCCTTAAATCTTCTGTGGTCAAATGATTGAAGAGGCTGTATCCTGACTGCCCAGCTTTCCAAAGCCCCTCCGACTCAGTAAGCAGAATCCTGCTTGTAGTCCCAACTGGAATATCACCTGCTTTTATCATCTTTTATGGGTCAGTAAATACTTCCCTCACAGAGTAGTTATGAAGAGATAGGCAAAAGAGTTACTGGAATGAAGCCCTGCTTGGTCAATGTTAATTTTTTGGTTCTATTATATTTTGGAGATAGGATCTCACACTGCAGGCCAAGCTGGCCTTGAGCTTCTATGCAGCTGCAGATGACCTCAACTCCTGATCCTCGTGCATCTACCTTCCAAGGGCTGGGACTCCCACCATGCCCAGCTTTCAGATTACTTCTGCAGTCCTGTCAGCCAACTAGCAATTGTCAGCAAACTTTTATCTGACTTTTCAATCTACTTATTCAAACCTGTTCACTAACCAGCCATCGAGGCAGTAAGCAAAGCCAAAAGCATTTAATATTTCTATGGACCCTCTAGTTCTTAAAATCTAATTTTTATCACCAGAATACACAGCCTCAAAATAGGAAATAATTGTTCATTTTACTTTATTATGTTAAATACTAATGTCAAATAATTTTAATTCTAGTGACTCCTAGGAACTAATAACTGGAACAACACAGTTAGAGAAGGCTACAAAATTTACAGGCATTTGGCAAACCCAGAAAATACCAGGAAAACAATATACTGACTCAGTACTGTTTGTAGTCTAGAAAAAACTTAAATTTCTATTTAAAGCAGAAGACAAAACTGAAGATGAAGCTCCATCATCTCTTAGAGAGAGCTTCGTCTCCTCAGGAAGTTACATACTCACCCTAACTCTGTCATGCCATCCATAAACTCCTGTTTGGAGAACTCGCACTGTGTGGCCGCCCTGAACTTCCATGCAATGATCAACACACTGATGCTGGCTGGATCGAGGGCCAGATCATCACAGAACTGTTGTATACCATCTATTCCAATTTTATTTTCATCTTGAGGGTCTTTAAAAACAAAAATAAAATTAGTGCCATCCTTTATTATATTCATAACAAAAGATACTATTTTATTTTCTATTTTAAAACAAATCACAATATACCAGAGACATGAAGTTGTATTCTTTTCACAGATGTTTTCCCATGTAACAGCCTATGTCAGTACACCCCTAAGTAGTACTGTTAAAGTATACAGGAAAGTGTAAAAGTAGTTGGACATTTAATTTTTAAAAATCTCACTAATGGAGCTTTGGTGCTGCACGTCTTTAGTCCCAGTACTAGGGAGGCAGAGGCAGGCAGATTTCTGTGACTTCAAGGTCAGCATGGTCTACATAGTGAATAGATAGAGCTACATAGTGAGATCTGTCAAGAAAAAAAAAAAAGGAACAAAGACACACACACTTATCTATGTGAAAATGTCACACACACAAATAAAATCAGACATGCCTATACAGGGACAAGAGACTTTTAAGTCAAGACACCCATATTTTATTAAGTATTCAAAATTAACCAGTGTTAAATTACAAACTCTTTTTACTTAAAACAAAATTCATTTTACCACAATTGCTCAAGTCTTAATAAAATGAAATATACAATTCAATCTTTAATCTCAACAGTTTAAGTATCCAATGTTTACAAAAGGAAAACTATTTAAAAAACTAGACATATACAAAGAAAGAGGTTCCTCTATACTGCTACCAAATATGATTTGCTAAAAAAAAAAAAAAAAAATGTAAAGTATATGGCTATCCTCTAAGAGGCCCCACCAGCAGCTAACTGAGACAGATGCAGATACTTATATCCAACCATTGGATTGAAGTTGGGGATCCCTATAGAGGAATTAGGGGAAGGATTGAAGGAGATGAATGGGAGGGTAACCCCATAAAAAATCTAGCAGTCTCAACTAACTCGGACATGTGGGAGCTCCCAGAGTCTGAGCCACCAACCAGGAGCATACACTAGCTGGTCCAAGGCCCCAAGCACATATACAGCAGAGGACTGCCTAGTCTGGCCTCAGTGGGAGAAGATGGGCATGGAGTGGGGGGTTGGGAGAGGCACCCTCTCAGAGGCAAGGAGGAGGTGGGATGAGATGAAGAACTATGGGAAGGGGGACCAGGAGGGGGGCAACAGATGGAATGTAAATAAATAAAATAATTAAAAAAAGAGAAAAAATGTAAAATATCTGGTAGTGACTATCAGTTACAATAGTGTACAACAGGCTGGGTATGTAGCAACACTTTGGAGCATGAATTATGGATATAATATAATCCCATTTGGAGGAAATTTTGAAAATAACTCTCTATACATCTGTGTAAAAACATAAAAGATATGCATGTATCCATACTGGACTATTACATATAGGTTACCCTGAGGAGAATAAGGAACAGATAAACAAACTGTTATCCTGTTCTTTTTCTTTTTTTTTCTGCTTTTTCCTTTTTCCAAGATAGTCTTACAATTTAAGCTAACCTTGAACTCTCAATCTGACTGCCTTCACCTCTGCGATGAAGGCTTGTATCACTAATCTCAGTTGTGTGGCTTTTTTAAAGTATGTGTTACTTTACAAAAAGTTATTATACAGACTTTCAGAAACCTGGCTCAGCAAGTTTTACAAACACAAGGTTAGGAAAAATTGCCTCCAATCTTCCATTCTCAAACTGCAGAACGGGGAGAAGACAAGAAGAGATGACGTAAAAAGGAGAATGAGTTCCCTTCTAAGATCTTGTAAGTTGCAGGATCTGCTGTAGTTCTCATGAGTACACTGAACTCCACAATCTGGGAAGACAACATCTGAGGACAAGCCCACGACTTTTAACATTAAATCAAATACTCACCTTTGTATCTAGTGTATAGTTGTTCTAACTTCTTCCTGTCCAACGATCCTTTTACACTCTCCCGTATATAAAGTTCTGGATTTTGAAAAAAATTATCTGTTGCAACGTCTAACTTCCAGTCATTTTGAGAAAGACAACTTACTGCAGTTTTCTCACTAGATTGTGTGAAGATCATAAACTGACGAACTTTATCCTTCTGCGATGATTTCAACTTGTTCTAGGAGAACCAGAAAACAAACTGAAGCTATGTAGCATCATTATACATTTCAATGTAGCTAACTGTAGTCATTAGTAAAGTTTTGTTTTTCCCACAAAACATAGAAACAGTTTTACTAAGACTTATTTGTGATCTATCATTATCAGCGACACAATTTAAAAATATCTGAAAGACAAAGTTTGGTAGAGCTCTGGAAAGGTAAGAAGGATGGAGACAGTACAAGGGAGCTCAGCCTCCTTACATCAGAGATGACATCCAGATAGTGAGCCAAAGCACCATGGGAAAGGGAAACGAAACAGGCACTGGCTGCAGTCCTAACGCCCAGTGCAGCACTACCTGCCTAGGTTTGTGCTGTCCAGCAAACAAGAATGCAATGGAATGTGAACATCCTACATTTCTCCTAGTTGGTATTTACAAAACATGTAACTCTTAGGAGAATTCTCACACATTTCCCTCAAATAAAAAGTAACTATCCTAGTTATTATGTCCACCCTTTAAAAAGGTTCTTTTAATTATATATTTACTCTCTCTCTCTCTCTCTCTCTCTCTCTCTCTCTCTCTCTCTCTCTC